TTTTTTTTTTTTCTTTTTGCGTTGTTTTGGGAGTAAGCTCCGGGCTGGACCGCATGCATGACACAACGCAAAGGCGAGAAACCCACCATCAGCATCCAAGAACACATGGCCATTGACGTGTGCCCTGGTCCCATCCAGCCCATCAAGCAGATCTCCGACTACTTCCCCCGTTACCCGCGGGGGCTCCCCCCCACGGCGCCCCAGCCAGCGGGCCACGCCGGGCCCCTGCGCTCTGCCCTCTCTACGCCTGCAGCCGCCGCCGCCACCTCAGAAAGTGATCGCCCCAATGAGGACAGCCCTGAGCGGGCGTGTGCTGGAGCCTCCGCCTCCCTGCAGGCCGTCAGGAGGGACGAGGAGCCGGACGTGGAGGGATACGACTCAGACGACTCCAGTGAGTGTTTCATTTCTTACTGCATCTCTTTCTCTGCCACCAGTTGCCAGGCATCCCTCCAGTCTGATTTTATCTCCAACCTTTTATTTTTTCTCTCTCTTTATCTCCAATCGTCTGATTCGAACATGAACGTAGTGTCTCTGCGCCGCCGATAACTCTTTTCGTCTCAGTCGACAGGCAGCCAACTGTTGCTGCTTCTGCTGCGAATCCAGCCTCTCCCCCCCTTCCTTCTGCTGCTCAGCTCTGTTTCCTCTGAAAGAATGATGCGTGTGATTTTTTTTTTTTTTTTTTTTTACTGCAACAAAGCATCGCATGAGGCTGTCTGTGTTGATAAGAGTGCGTTTTTAAAAAATCACCTATGTCTGAGGGGGGTGGGCTAGGGGTTTGGTCTCACCAAGCCGTGTGATTCATGGCTTCTCAGATTAACCGCCCAGTGGAGCTCATCCTCATACTGTACCCAGAAAGGCAACTTCTGTCTGGCTGGCTGGTTTTTGTTTGGGTTTCTGACGCATGAAGATGTAAGGCTTTTTTGTGAATTTAATCTTACTGGAGATTTATGGAAATATTGAACCGTCGAACACCAGGGATCCACTTTTTTTTTTTTTTTCACTTCCAAACCCACTACAGACGTCTGAGGTTTAGTTTCGATCAATACTGATCCAATACAGAAAAATATTGCTGAGTTGATTGAAATTATTTCACATATTGTTCCCAGAAAGGCAAATTCAGTCTTATGGGCTTGTTTTAATTTATTTGTAACACTTTTAAGATGGTGGGCTTTTTAAAAAAATTTTATCTCACTGGATATTTTTCTGGAGCGACTAACTGTAATTAATCAGTTATTGAAATAATTTCCAACTAATTTAGTAATCAATTAATGAGAGTATACAGACTCAAAAGACCAATTGCAGAAAGAACAACTTACTCAGAGCAGTAATTAAGCCAAAACTGCAAAAAATATATACATTTGGTTTTAAGATTAAAAAACACCTTCTGTCTGTTTATATGTTCTACCCAGAATTCCTCAAGTGTCATAGTCTTAGCTTCAGAATGTATTTATATACATTCTGTAAATGTATATAAATAAATCTCCTATTAAGCACCTTTTGCTATCTTTTATTAATCAATTAATCCCAAAAATAATAAACAGATTGGCCTTACATCGAATTGAAGTAAAGTTGAGTAGAAACCACTGAGCTTTTCGCATCTTAGAAATATTTTTAGCTGCAGTTGCATCCTTTGCTACAAATAATCAAGCATTGACTAAAGTAAAACTATATGATTGCATCTTAAGCAATAAAATTAAAATTTTCTTCTTTAAAAAATAAATTGTTTAATTTTTTTTGTATTTCTAGTGTTGTATAAAATAAGATTAAGTGGTTAACTGGAAAAATCTACAGAATGTGCAAACCTTTTTATATGATTAATTTTCAGAATAATCAATAAAATCATTAATAAATAAATTAATACAATCAGTCCATGGATATCTATGAAAATACTAAACAGTCAGAGAGATAAAAATGAAAGCAAACTGCTTTCTCAGCAGTTGCTTTCAACACTTGTTCCATCTACCTGAATCTCTTTATTTTTCCAGCGCTGGTGTCTGATGGATCAGAAGCAGTGAAGGTATTTCTGTTGCCTCCCATCATGTTCGACTTTTACCGAATGTTTGCTGCAGGCATGCTTTGCAGAAAGGGCTTGTGATTGCAGGTTAATGTGTGACAGTAGTGTGGCTTCTGCAGGAGTTAATCCACCCAGAGTGGCATGCTGTGGGGAGGGTTAGGCTAGCTCTTAATCCAGAGCTGGACAGGAGGGTTGGAGGGCAGAGATGGGGGATGGTAGGCAGTATAAAGGGTGGATTCTCCTGGCAGATGTTGCTTTATGACCTCCACTGGGCAGCCAGGGTTTTACTCAGTGAAGAAGCACAGAGTCTGTTAATCAGTCAGACCAGTCCTCAGCCTGTGTGACAATTCACTTTTCTGTGGAGAGACTCTGAGGATTTTTGGCTTTGGCTGGAAACTTGTTTTCTGACTCAGAATTAAAAATATTTCCTGCCAAGTGATTCTGTTTGCTTGAACGCTTGTGTTTTCCAGCCATTTACATACAAACGGACCAATTAAAAGGTTATGGCACATTTTAGATTTCATCTAATGCTTGGATGTGCCAAGGCTGATCTTTTTAAATAATTTTTTTTTTGCAGATTCAGATTCCTCTTTAAGGAAGCATTTACACCAGCCCGGTGTAGTCCGCTTTAAGCAAACTCCGGTTCGTTTTTTTTCTAAAAAGTCCAGTTAATTTAGGGAACCGGACCAAAACTCTAAAGTGGACCAAAAAAGCAAAGTCTGGTCAGCCTATGAACCTCAGTCTGTTTGGTTGAAGTGAACTCTGGGGCATTATGAACATATATGTGAATGCCAAGAGGACCAAAGACAGCTCTAACAGCAAGAAGCAGACTACAGCACAGTGCATTCTGGGTAATACAACCATAACAAACACAAGAGTCTTGCACTAGCAGGAGAAATGGCCTGTGATTAGAAAAGATAAATTTTACAACCCCTAAAACCTGACACCACTCCATTTGATTTACATTTTGACGGAAATTGCTTTTAGTATCTTCAGAGTTTTTTATGGTATTTTCTTCAGCGCCCCCCAAATGCGAGAAAGGGAACAGGTTGCTCAAAGGGTTTGGATCGTTTGACACAGTTAAGTGTAAAAAAAAAAATGCAGCAGCTGAAATCTAACAAATATTGCAATTTTAGTCCACAATCAGAGTATATCGTACCTATTCTTATTGCGCATGAAATAAAAATAAACAAAAAGCTTTTATTTGGTTTTATAAAACCTACAGTAGCAGGGTCAAAGTTGGAGACCCCTGAGCTCGACTACAAGAAGATATACGAGCAGCACTGAAAAAAAATAGTTTTAACCTTTGAGCTCTGAGTGGTTAGTAATTATTTATAATTAAAGCTGTAAGAACAGTTGCTGTTCAAGAGCAAGAACAGAATTGACATTTTGAATTTTCTTTAGCATCTTATGTTTACAATTACTGCAGTTAGCACAGCTAGCATTACTAAAACAGCAGCTTCTGTGTGTGTTATTATAAAGTCTTAATTTTTAGTTGAATTTGGACTTTGCATCATAGCTGTTTCTGACTACTTGATGGGTCGATTTTAAAGTTGTTGAGTCTGTAGTAATGTCACCAGATCATAAGATGGAGGAGTCTAAGAAAAATTAAAACATTGTTTGCTTCAGTCATTTTTTACTTCTGTATTTATGTCTGGTTTCTTCTGGTACAAAATTGTGACTCGTCTCACGTCAATAACGAAAAAGTCAGATCAAATTCGACACGACCATTGAGACTTCAGACGCTCTGAAATGTATCCAATTTAGTACCACTTATGGAAGTGGCACAAATCAATTTTTGGGGCTGGTGAAAAGATTGAAATTGGGCGGTTCAGACATGAAACTGGCGTAAAGGCAGAAAATATGATTTTTGCCTACTGTGTGAATGTAGCCTAAATAATTTTTGGTCAGAGCTGCACAGAATTACAAGTCATTGTTGTCAAAGTTAAAAAAAAGAGAAAAGTAGAAGAGTAGGGGAAAGCGAGATTGTAATAGTCATTTTTCAATGTTTTAACTTACCAAACATGAATGTTGAGTTTGAAAGTTCAGTTAACACCAACCACCATCATGAGGACACAGTGACACAACACTTGCAGTACAGTTGCTGTGTTTTTAGCAGCAGAGAGCAGCTGCATGTGCATCAGAACGAGTGTTTCCCTGATCCTCTAAAGCAGCTGAAACATCTCTGAAACTGGAGCACTGGAGGAAGAGCTTAGTCATTTGTTGTGGAGGGGGAGAAAATCCTGATGCCAGAGCTTTGAAGCTGCATTTTAGACCTGAATGTTTTGCTGTCGCTCAGCATCAGTGCACCTTGGTCCACTGAAGGAATATGGAGCTCACTATATATGTATGAGAACGAAACAACTGAAGAAATGTCCACCTCAGGGTTGTTCAGCTAGAAAGATTACCGATTTGTTCAGCTGATGGTTGCTCTTTTCTCTATCTGAAATTGAGATCTGTTTGAGCCTAGCTTGATCACCATGGTAACATAATCTAAACTCATCTACTCCACATCCCTGTGCTGTGTATGTTGGACAAAAACACCCCTCAATATTTACTCTCAAAAAGTAGTGATACCTATGTTGAAGATGTGTAAGAACAATTTCATATTTAAGAATTTAGAAAAATACAAACTTTATTTATAGAAAGAAACTGATTGACAATAAAACTGCAAAAAGTTTTATTGTTTGCACACTAAAACAATAAAACTTTTTATTGTTATGCAAGTTTTTTGTCATTTGGAATGATGAAAGCAGTGATGTAAACGTCCTTCCTCACACCCCACTGCAATGTGGAAAGCCTTTTTAACTGAACTGTCATGTTTTTACACTGTGGAAGCCGGAGTGCCCAGAAAGAATTCACGCAAGCACATGGAGAGCTTACATTTTTAAATATATATTTTTATTTTTGGTTTGGCCTTCTGTTTATTTGCTGTAATTTTTTCATCAACATTATTTGTAGAAGTAGAGAATTTTCACACCTAAAAATCTGCATCTCTGCTCAAATAAGAGCTTTCAAGAAAATAATTTAACTTTCACTTTCACCGTCAGATAAGGCTTCTGCATGTTGGTGTTCCCGCTAAACCCTGAATATACCCAATTTGTGTTGTCTTGGCCTGTGGGGTTTTCCCTGTCTGGGACCGAGAATACACCCTGATGAATGTGACAGGTAGCCAATCAGAGCGCGGTGACGTAAGAACAGAGGCGAATCCCGAACAGCTGACACATGGCAACTGAGAGTCCAGTGGATATTGGAGATGATATGTGGAAATGTTCATTATTATATGTAAAGGTCATTATTATATATGTTCAGTTAAAAATGTTAACTATGAAAAAACAGTCACTTCCAAATCATAGTGCAGCAAATAGAGCGGCTGC